GTGAAAGAGGCAATCTTCCTTGGCCAATTAATTGGAATGGCGCAACAAGAGCAGCAAAACAAGCAGATGTTATATTATGCTTAGGTTCTAGTTTAAAAGTTTTGAAGAAATATCCATGGTTGTGGCAAATGGATAGACCAATCCATAAACGTCCATCATTGTATATTGTAAATTTACAATGGACTCCAAAGGATGAAAATGCAGTTTTAAAAATAAATGGAAAATGCGATGAAGTTATGAAAAGGATTATGACTCACCTTGGATTGGAAATACCGCAATATAATCGTGCCAAGGATCCTATTTTTTTTCATGCTGTACGACTTAGAAATAGTGAACAACATACAACAAGTCAACCTTGTTTGGAAGAGCCAACTAATATTGTTCATAAAGAATTAAATCAAATTGATGATAATTTTCATGAAGATATATCATCTTCAACAAAAGAAAAAGAATGCATTTCATCCAAAAGAGTAACTGAATCAATGTCTGCTTATTCAGCACCATTTTTTACTGCATTACCGTTTTTATCTATGGGATTACCATTTCCACCAATGTATATGTGTCCTCAACTAACACCACTTTTTTATTATCCATTTGTACAAGTACCAAATATAACTTCAGATGTGCCAAAACCTAAACCTACATGTACTTTCTGCATGGAAAATGAAGGATCTCTTACTTGTCTTTATTATCAACGAGAAACAGACAATTCTACTTTAATAGGAACAGAAAGTAAGCAAATAAAAGATACAAAAACATTAGTAATTCATGCAGATCCTCCAATAGCTGCTAAAAATCCTGGGTGGTTTGGTAAAGGATATCGTAAAGGCATGAAAAAGAAACGGTAGCATTTACTTTCCCTTATATTATATAATCTTCCTCTTTTCTCTTATAATATGAATGTATAACATATATGAAATATGATATATAATAATGTACGTAAATGTTCAATTCCTTCATATCATAATAAGATCTGTATACACAATTTAGAAATGTGTAGCAATTAAATTCCAATATCCAAAATTTTAGCAATTAAATTAAAATATTTAAAATTAAAAGAGTTAAACTTTTAAGCATTTTATTATTCCTGTTTAGTAGATATGCAATTATTTAATTTTAATATATTAATTACAGACTGAAATCATCAATAGATATTTAAATATATATTATATATTATCAATTGGATTATTAATAGCTTATTATGAAATATGCTTAAAATTTTTATTTTGCAGGTCAATTATATTGTGATTTTTAGTTATAAGATTTTTAAATGTTGTGCAAAAAGTTTATATTAACCAAAGTGATAATTTTCTTTTATTATTTCTTATTTTATATTTGTACAGTTAAATATATCATAATATTTTAAAAAAATAATTTTTTAAAAAATAATATGTGTATGAATAGTATGAATAGTATGAATAGTAAAGCTTTTATATTATATCTTTTTCATATTGATTTATCATTCCAGTTTTATAAACTAAATATTATAGCAAATTAATCCTATGGATATTAAAAAACTGTTTGTAATAAATATCGAACTATATTAGCTCTTTTTTTTGTATTGATTAACAATGCAATAAACAAAACAAAATTTTATAAATAAAAATAAAAATTTTTATTTATTTATATTTATTTATTTTTTTCATTAACCATGTTAAAATCGAAAAAATCATATATAATATTATAATTCATATAATATGATATAAATATATATAATATATTCATATATGCATTATATATGAAAGCGAACATTTTTTAAGAATATTTAATATAAATGTTTTTTTTTTAAATAGTAAAGTTTATATTAATATAAAGAAGTTACTGTATATCATATTATATATCATATTAAAGAAGTAAATTATTATTTATTTACTGATATTTTATAAATAAAATTAATGTAACAATATAGTTTCGATATTCCTTTTATCCTTTTAAAGATTTATATATATTGCATATTTATATATATATATATATATATACACAAGTTATAAGATAATATGAATTGCATACATTTTATTTATTAAATAGAACATAAATAATTAATTTTCAATGAATAAAAACATATATGCAAAAATAATTATAAAAAAACAAATTAATTAAAATTAAAATTAAAAGTTAATTGTAGAAAAAAAAATAGAACTAAAAGAAGGGAAAATAAATATAAAAAACGAAAATCTATTCAAATGTAAATCTAAATGATATTTTTATGTTTCATATTTTATTTATTTTACATGGAATTCGATTCATTTGTATTTTTATATCAAGTTATTCTTATGAATGAAATAAATTTATTATATATGTATGTTCTCATATTATGATAACTTTAATAAATTTTGAAAATATAGATTTTTTGAAGTAAATAAAAAAAAAAACAAATGTATAAGAATAAATAAAAACGAAATAATCAAAATGTGAATAAAGATCTTATATACAATTAAAAACAAAATTTCTTAAATGATAAATATATTAAAAATGAGAATTATGAGAACAAACTTTTAATTGAAATTATATGACGGAAATCATATAGCGATAAATGAATATTGAAAATAATAAATATGTAGATAAAATAACTTATAACATCAAGATAAGAAAAAAAAAAAGAAAGGAGACGGAAATGAAAACGAAAAAAAGAATATAAAGAAGGAGAAAAATATTAGAAGAGAAAAGATTGAAAAAGCTTATAGTCTGTCATGGTAACCTTGTACAGCGTCAACTTATTATCAGTTTCGACAATACTTATTGTAAAACCTATTATGTAGTATTTTGCCAATAATATCATAATATATATTGATTGCTCATTGTCTTATTTACTTTAGACAATGATATCATTAAATATATTTGCTGGTTCTATTTTTTTTTATATTGTTTTGAAATGATATAAAAACATATTATCATATTAAATTAATAAATAAAAATTCAAATATAGAAAAGAAAAAGATTACAAATTTCTTATAATTTAAATTTAAAATTTAAAAAATTTTAAATTATTTTTTATCTTTTTTTTTTATTTTTTCCTGTTACTTATATATATGTTATTATATTGAGTATAATATATTAAAATATAATGAAAGATGATGAAGTTAAATATTTGTTATTTAACTTTAGATGATATATATATATATATATATATCATCAAATAAATAATATTTTTCATAATTCTTGTTTTTAAAGAATTTTATATTTATAGTTTTAAAACAACTTAGTTATTTACGATTCGTTACTTTATATTAAACTTATATATTTATTTCATCTTTTTAAAATAAAAAATAGATATCATAGTGTAAGTATTCAAATTATTCAAATATATTTAAATATATAAGGAGAAATTAATAAAAATTTTAAATGATTAAAATTCTTAATTCTAATTAAAAAGAATATATTATTTTAATAATTATGTCTTATATTATTTATTTTACAATAATTTATGAAATAATTAATATAATGTAACAAATAATGTAAATAATATAA